TGTATTTATTAAGCAAGACAGATGCAAACCAAATGCACCCCTTCCTGAATGTCCGTTTTTTTTTGTTTGTTTGTTTTTTCCCTTCCCTGGCAGCCAAAGGAAGCATCCATTCTTCATCTAGCAAAGAACACAAATCCGCTTCAAGTGCAAAGCGCCTCCTGTCTGCAAAGCTTTCAGCAAGAGTAAGTAACTGCCTATGAGCTCTGTGGCAGAGGTGACAGGTGAGCAGGGGACACCGGATAGGGCTGGTGTCCTCCTTGGCCTATCCCACACAGGCACTTGCAGAGGCACTCATGGAACAAAAGGAGGTGTTTTGAAGCTTGTCTGCTCTCTCACAGTTTTTGGAGGGAACCTTCCACCACTTTGAGCGCCAGGAAATTATCCTGATGCTGGGGCTATCAGCAGCTGTGCTTGGCTGTACCCCCTGGTGGGTGCCCAGAAAGGGAAGCATCCAGACTGGGACTGTGCCACTATCTATGAAAATCCTGGGTTGAGTAGGGGCCCTTTTTTTATATGCCATTTCTTTGGGTGATATTCTGCCTGGACACATTCCCGGCAGGAGGAGGAGGAGGTTTCAGACACTAAAATAAGCAGCTGCATGGCCCAGGGCCTGTCCTAGCTGGCACACAGCTCCCTGCTTCTTTCTCAGATCCTTTAGTAAAGCTGCATGTGAGCAGAGCCTTTAAGCCCGCAAGGAAGTGCCATCCGCTGCAGCAGGATGCCAGTTCAGTGGTGCTTGGAGGCTTCCCGAGTGCTGCCGTGCGGCGACCTCAGAAGCAACGCAGCTTGGGACCAAATCCCTTCCGCCTCACTCAGAGCTCTGCTCCCTGCAGCTGGCAACCTCCCCCGTGCCCCCCTGCCTAGCAAACATGCCCAGAGCTGCTCCCACCCTGAAGGGGGGCTCTCCGAGAGCAGCGCGACGGACAAGACAGCAGCCACCGCCGTGCGCTGACCCAGGAGGTACGACCCGTCTCTGGCTGCAGCAGCACCTGGACCAGCAGATCAGCAGCCTGCAATAGAGACATCAGAGGCAGGAGAGAAAGGGCACCAGGGACTCTGGGGTTGATTCTCCCATGCTGGGCAGGAAGTGCTTTAGGGAAATAAACAGCCCCACCAAGAGCTGGGAAGTAGATGCTCCAGAGAGACTTCATTTCTGGCAGGAAATTCTTCCCTGTGGTGCTGATTTATTAATAGGTGTGCGGAGGGGTAGCTCTCTCCCCTCTCTCCTGCTTACACACTAAATATCAGTTTGGCAGCCAGTGGCAAATCCCATTAACAGAGAGACACATAAAGGCAGTAGCAGCTCCTGGCCTGCTACAAGAGTGAAGAGGCAGACGCTGGTTACGTACATCTGAACTGGTCATATCCAAGTGGAAGGGAGGACCCTACTGAGCTAAATATTAATATTCTGCAAAAGCGGAGATGGGAATAAGCTCATTCATTAAATGACTTTTTCCATGTCCAAGGGACCAGTGCAGGATTGCAATGGAGGAAACAGTGGCAAGAAATTCCTCTATGAAAATCCCCATCTATTTCCCTTCTAGGCCAAAAGAACCTAATTCACATGCAGCCCATGGTGTTTGACCTTTTCTAATTAGCTGATTAAAGCCCTGGCTAGCTTTTACTTTTTATGGATTACAAAGGTGGAAGGTGAATGAGCAGAGGCTAAAACCAGAGCAAGAATTGCCTCTGTGGATCTGTTACAGTCCAGTTGCAGACACTATTTGCAACAGCCTTGTTTATTTTGCTGATCCTGGAAACCATAACAGACACCAGTGTGGCAGGTCTGGGAAAGCTCGGGGTGCATCTGCTGTCACCAAAGATGAGACAAGCAGCTTTCTGCCCTGCGAGGTCAGGCTGCGATCACAAGCTTGCTCTTTTAATAAGCCTCCCTGCTGCTCTGCGCTTGGCAGCATGGGCTGGGTCTGCTTACATGGCTCACGCAGGGCACACGCTCTTGCACGTACCACTCAGGAGGTTAGATCCCTCAGAAAGGGAGCAATGAAGGGGACATGATGCAAAAAACACAGCTCTTGGCAGAGAGTTGTCCACCACTGCTCGGCTCTCTGCTCTCTACTGAGCTTTCACAGACCAAGAACCGCAATGGCAAAACATATGCATGGAGGGAAGTTTTAATTCCTACCTGTGATGCTGCTCAGCCTTGTGTCACTCACTTCATCTTCCTCCTCCTCCTCTGCATCCCTGAAAGGGGGATACCAAGCCCTGCCCCGCTTGGTAATATAGCTAGAGATCCACCTCTGGAAAGCAACCTGCAAGAGCTAAGTGTTTATTTATTGGAGGAGGAGAGCATCATCCTTCTGTCTCCTGTTGGTGTTGGGTGCCCAGAGCCAGCAGTGTAGCTCAACACCCTGTGTGGCTCCCAGATAAGCTCCATGCCCAAGGGCACACGCACCTCCCTGCCTGTAGGGTCTACCTGAGAACAGCCCAAGAACAGAGTTGCTCCAAGCTTTGACTGTTCTGCGCATACTCCAGAGGCTAAAAGGAGAACTGTGGTATTGGGATACTGCTAGCAAGGTTTTGCAGCACATCCCAGGGCCCCAGCTCCTGGAAGTGCTGCTTTCTGCTGTGAGACAGTTCTGCTAGAGCAAACATTTTGCTTTTGCTAGAACAGGCTGCAGCACTCTTGCGAACCCAGTCACTCCTCACACCTCCACAGCAGCTACCTGCACTAATGATGAGTGGAGGGGCACCCGATCCATCCAAAGCCTTGAGAACCTGTCACACCACAGATGAAAGCAGAGCTTGGGAAGGGGGGGTGCTGGTTCACTTCTGAATCTCAGCAACAGAAGAGAAGCCCAGACAGGCAGCAAGCCAGTGTGTACCGGGGTCTCTCTTGTTAGATAAATGGTGACAAAAAACAGACAAAGAGGACTGCTCAGAAGACACCCAAACATGTATTACTCAAACATCTCCCCCTTTTTCCCTGCTAAGCCGCTCATAGTAATTTACCAATTCAAGGACAAAAAAAATCTTTTTTTTTTGGAACATTTCTCCACGCCCTCTCCTCTACCACAAAGAAGCTCCTTGCACCAGATACAGACAGAGCCAATCTGTGTTTGCTGAGAAGAGAGCTCACACATTTTGCAGAGCAGTTTCCAAATCCATACCCGGAATCTTGCATCTGCAAATGCACACGTGCAGAGCAGCCTAGCTGCCCGATTCTGATGCACAAAAACTCACTTATGCTTTTTCTGCCCCTTTGAAACCAAGTATGAAACTCAAGAAGGAATCTTTCTCTCGGAATACTTGGAGGACACCGCACTGACCATCATCCACAGATGGTCATCCCTTGTTACAGAGAAAGGCCTCATCGTTACCAGGGCTGAGTGCCAGTGAGGGCTGCAGATTTCAAGCAGGCAGGAAGAGTGCAGAGCACTTCTGGAAATTATCTTGCCACTTTCTTCTTTCTTCTACAAAATCAGATGTTTTTTGCTCATGGTCAAGTGACCCTGGCAGAGTCTATTTTAGAAACCAGCTTAATGACACAGGCACAGCTGTTGGGCAACATCTGACTGGAAATCTTTCCTGCATCCACAGTATTTCACAGAATCACAGGTCATGGCATTTTTAATGCTTTTGATGGCTAATTTCCTCAAGTGCCCACTGAGACTCTGCAACGTGGCTTCGGACTCCAAACTGTTCTGTAGGAGAAACTGGTGCATATACACCAGAAAATTGTAAGTTTTGGGGCTTACTCTGTTTTCCTTTGAGCTGACCAGGAGATAGACAATATCAAACAATTCATTAGCTCATCATGTAATTACTGTTTTATCAAGTGATTTAAAAATAGAGGTATTTAACACAGTAATTTAAATTAGAAAAAAAAAAGTGACAATGCTTGGCTTCAGACTGCATCAATAAAATCGTAAGGCCTAGTCATGTGGATTAGTATCTCACACCTGCAGTCACTAAAACATCTGCTTTGAATCACACACAACTATAACACAAACACCCCACTGAAAACCAGGAGATGTTTCCTTACATCCCTATCTCATCTCAGCTGCTGTATCATTTAAAATAATTTAGTCAGCATTTGTAAAGACTATTTGATCTAAAAAGACCAGAAGCAGAAAATACACTCTAAAGGCACATGCAAAGATGGCTCTGATACAACACAACCTGTTTCCAGAGGTCTTCGCTACTTATGAAATTCTGATATGCAGTGTCTATTCATAGGCAAAGAGAGAAGTCCATGCAAAGATGGCTCTGATACAACACAATCTGTTTACAGAGCTACTTAAGAAATTCTGATATGCAGTGTCTATTCATAGGCAAAGAGAGAAGTCCTTCTAGACAGCTACAGAGAAGAAAACCCATCAATGCCGTAATGAGTCACTTCTTCAGCATTCCCTCCCGTAAGACCGGGGCTTTAGCTCTAAAACCACTTGTGCTTCCTGCAGGCTGGATTCTTCCTCTCCTGCAGACATGGGCAATACTCCTCTGCCTTGCAGTGCACTCAGTCATCGCTTCCTCTTGAACTCTTGCCTCTATCCCTCGCATGTTAAACGTTTAGGACTGCAGCAGGTACTACTAGACAAAGGGAATGCCCTCTCTCCCTCACCTTCTTTGGCCCATTTTGGGAACTGCAGACCAAGCCCCAGTTTAGTATCGTTGCTTTACTCAGTGACGCTGTCCTTACTCACAAAGCAGGGCATGATGTAAAAAGGTGGAAATATGCTAAGACTTGTTCTGTTTTAGTACATGAAAGCTGCAAAAATAACTGTGCGTTCTGTAATAAGAGGTTGATTGGCTGTTATGTTGATCAGCAGGTGCTCTTTAAAGAAAGCACTTCTGACCAGCTGCAGCCTTAATTGAGGCCAATCACGCCGTTTGTTTAACATGCCCTGCTCGCGCGGCTCTACGGCTGGCCTGCACATGAAGCGGAAGGAGAGCATCAATCCTTCGAGGAGAAGGAGTCCATCCAGTGGCTGAAGCCTCTGTGGTGTGGGTGGCTACACGCCATGGGTCCGTGCGGGCTGTCTTCTAGAACTGTGGAGTCTTGCTCTGAGATGTTGTCGAGGCAGTGGGTCTGCCTGGCAAGTTCTGCAGCATGGCCCTGTCAGGCAGGGGCAAAGCTGCATTTGCCAGCCCAAACCTCTCTGTGTTTTTTGTGGATGAGCATACAACTGGTTGGTGATGGTGGATCATTCTGGGCACACTCTTATCCACGGCAGGCCTGGGGAAAACAGAATTATTAAGGTGAAATTGCACTTAATCTGGATGAAAGCTGAAGCAAGAGCTTGCAGGCCTGGGAGCTGCACAGGGCACAGCCTCCTCCCATACAAGGCACGAGCCTGGTGTGTGCACTGCACCATACTATGCTGGTGTAAAAATCAAGAGATATTACGATTCTTCAGTTCTAGGTCTTCAAAGTAGTAATGAAATGCCAGTCTTACAGTGAGGGGGTCCAACTCTTACAGGGAAAGCATCCAGGAATAACCATGTTTATGTTCATATGATAACTTACCCAATACCTACATTATTTTCTGACAGGCCATATTTTCCAAAGTTCTTTCTAACGTGAATTGATGCCAGTTTCAAGGGAGAAAATAGAGCAGCATGTTAGGAATTGGTTCTGGTATTTGCTCAAGGAGAGTCTTGAACAGATACCACTGGGAAACATGGGAGTGGAACAGAAAGAACAGAAGAAGATTCTGGGCTGTTATTTAAGAAAATACAGAATTTCCAACATTCAAGCTACTATGAGTAACATGAGCAAATGTTTCATTTAGCTTTAGAAGAACAAACATAAAGGCCAGCATGAATTAAAGGAGCTCCTTTTGCAGAACGGGCAGGAGATTTCAGAGACAACACAGAAGTATGCTTTTCCCTGCTGTGAAGTCCCTTCTGTTTTTACTAGACATTCTGCTGGGAGAGCTGCCAGCAGCATGCGTACCTGACACTTTTTGATCCAACAGCTGCTGGTCCTGAAATAGGTCTCAGCCTGCCAGTGCTGCCACCGGGCTGGAGCTGTCCCTGGGATCGGGAAGGGAAGGCCTCACACACAGCAGGTGCACTGCGCAAGCTCAGGAGAGCAAGCTCCTCATGCAGAGGCTCAGCTGAAGTGTCTTGACCAGTCTTTGACTGGCAAAGCTGCATCCACTGCCTGTCCTCTTCTTGGTTGGGTATTTTTAGGCATCTTACCCTGTGGTTCCTCATTTTCCAAGGGCTTGCTGTAATGCCCATTAGAGATGCAGGTGAAGGACTTTTTGGAGGAGAAGGAATTAAGCAATGGTTTGGGTTGGAGAACACTGTCCACTCCTGAGCCTGTAACGAATCTGAAAAATGGAGAAGGACAGTGATTTACAGGCTCACCTTACCCCTAAACTGACTCAAGGCTTTAGCAAACACCTTAACTCCTGAATTTATCAAAAGGCTTTAACAAACCCTGTGTGATGGAGCTGGGTGGGCAGCTGTGTCCTGGGGCACCCGACAATGCCGTCCTTGTTAGGTTGCTTCCTCTGGTAGCAAGGGATTTAGTTGACTTGGTGAGCTCCCTACCAGTGCTGCTGGCGAGGTGACTGGCAAACATGCAAACGGCTCCCGAGCTGTGCTCAGCTGCTTGATCTCCCCCACCCTCCTGCCCCAAGGCACCTGCACCACTCCTGACCAGGGTTTACCCTGACCTCTTTTAAATGCCCGAGGACCCTATCTAGCTCCCAGAAGTTGAAGGTGAAAAAACGATCACAGATTAGTGGAACTGCATTTTTATCAGATGCAGAAGTATAGGAATAAAGTTTTGAGATTAGACTTAAAATTAAAAAAAATGCCTGAATATTGGGAAAATATTTTCCTACATACAGGAATAGAAGTCTATCTGCTCTTCCTCTGGCTGTTCAGATTTTAGCCCTGGAAATCCTCAGATGTAATATACAAGAAAAAAAGCTTACCATAGACTTATGAACATAACATGTACATGAACAAATCCTTAAAATAATTCTATATATAGCAGGGATCCAATTGCTCTTGTCTGTTAAAAGAACTAACTGTACCTAGCTACATGATGTGCAGAGTGCATGGTAGGAACACTATCTAAAGAATGCTTTGGGAGTAATTGTGCCACCAAAGCATAAGGACAGAAAATTCAGCTTTCTACCTCCTGATTAAGATGCATTTTACTCACTAGGAAACCTATAAATCTGATAGAAAATTCACACCAAAAAGTTTCTACTATATTATATGCTTTTAAAATTTTGAAATTTGAGGTTGTTTTGTTGTTTTTGATAGATATTCTAAAAGATGAGAATGCCCGATTTGAGAGCCTGAAATAACACTTTAAGATTTCCCAAATTGTGCCGATTATAGAGACCTAATGCTGTAAACACTTTAAATAGGAACACGTTCACTCAGATGATTTTTTTTTTCCTGAAATATTTTTTATAAATCTTGCACTTCAATACAGTCTCAAGGCCCAGTAGCAAAGTATGTTCTTAACTGTCTTGCGGAATAAACCTAAAGTTGCATCAGGTATTTACTCCCTAAAACATGTACATCTGTCAGTGACAGTGGACATCAGCAACCATGTTTGCAATTATCTGTATAAATCTTGGTTATTATGGCCAGTTACTAATGCTATAACATTTCCCAATGATTGCTCTGCAGCACAGGAACCAAAAGTCTTAGAACATCACAGTTAATAATACATCTCTCTGAGAATGCTTAGTAACATTCACCGCTATATGACGTCAACCCTTCCCCAGGGTTTGGTACCTGAGGATGAGTGGGAAAGACTGGAATGGAAAGAATCAAGTGAAATCCTCTCAGTTAGGTCCTCATTGTATGGTGCTCTCAAAATATCTTCACAGTTGTCAGCCAGGCTGCAGTCTTCCTCATCCTCTTCTTCATCACTAAGAGTTACCTTCAGTACTTGAGGGGCCTTTTCTTGCTGAACCATTTGCAGGAACCTGAACAATATTAAGTGTTAACCCTTAGTTAGCTTTCAGTTATGAACATGTAGTAAGCCAAGTGTAGCTTGCTGTGGCCATACAGAGGCAAGTACTAGGACTGTGCATTTAGTCACACCCACTTATTTTCCACTTACCTGGAGATACATGAAAGATCATTATAAATGCATCATGCATCTAAGCTTCCCATGTCTGTCTGGAAGTATCCTGAAATTAACCAGTGAAATGGGACAGATACTGGCAGTGAAACAAGTTTGGAGAAACAATGCCATTTTCACTTCCAAAAAAACTATCTTTTATGAGGTGGGGAGGGATCTCAACATGCTGTTCCTTTCCTTTCAGCCTTTGGACTACTACTCAGAAAACAGTCACTCAAAGCAGAAGACTGTTCTGCCCACAAGGTGGCCTGAGACAAAGACAGCAGCAGTCTACTGGTAGACTTCAGAGGAGACTGCATGAGGGCCAGGTGTGAGAGTCTTCCTAGCCATCAAGTCAGGCAAGCTGATCAGGAGTAATCAAAAATGACCTAATTCTACTTCCCCATGAAATCCATAGCAAAGTTTTCATTTGGTAAGGTCAATGTGATGCTTCTGAAAATCCTCCTCCATTCTCACTTCGTTTTCTATCTAAAGGTAAGCACGGATGAGCCAAAGTCACTTCCTGGCACTCTCTAAGCAGGTACGCTGCCTAAGCTAGTCCTGAGCCTGCTCTAGAGAGAGGACAGAATTTCAGGGTTTTTTTCCTCTGCCCACTCCACAGATATTCCTGTAGGAAGCACTGCTCTGCTGGCTTTGCCTGCAGAGACAGGGAGGCAGAAGATGAAAGGCTATCCCATGAAACAGCCACCAGGTGGCCAAAGAGTTTATTTTATTATTAAGGCAGGATATGAATCCCTGTTTTATTGCATGACAGTCTACAGTTCTCTCACTCTCTCACCGTTTATGCTTTTCTCTCCATTCTCCCAGTTCAGTGAAGACATCTTCCTGGCCTAGATCATCATCTTCAGAGATATGAGGGTATTCCCCTCTCAGGCTGCATAGTTTGAACGGATCCACTGCAGGCAGCTACAAAACAACAGAAGTTGTCCTGAGAACCTCAGAAACACTCTCCACATCAGTTTCTAGGTGGTGGATTGTGGAAAGCAAAGTTTGCTGTACGTCTTCACTACTCCTCACTATTTTCTTCTTCACTTTAAGGAAAGCTCTGTGCCTCAATCACAACATGTACCAGTACACTTGCAGGAACCCAGATCTGTGGGAGGAACCCAGGGTGGTCATAATGAAAGTCTTATTTATACCCCACTGTTGTATAGTTCTCCTTTAAACAAGCCCAAGAGTGTAACATTTACACCAATATGCATATCAAAACCATAACACAGAACTGGTTAGTTCTCTTTCACATCCTACTTTATAGCATGCTATAATTCAATCAAAAGTTGAAATTCATTTTCAAAAACCTTCCAGTGTTTGGGAAGTGGCAAAAGAGAGGAGAAAAAAAAAAAAAAGAAAAAAAAAGGAAGGTCATATAGTGGTACCTTTAGCATTTGTTGTCAGCATTAAGCAAAGTTGCAGATAGTGTAGTGATGCAGATGCCCTATACATGCAGTTTCCTTGAGGCAGAAGGGAACAAACTTTGGCTTTATATTCATTTAGTCAATAGGAACAATCCTGCAGCACTAGCAATCTGAGCATTTATGCTGACATCAAAGGAACACCACTGAAAAATTTTGCGCTTAGTAACTGTTATACAAAACCAGCCAAATCTTGCAATCCTGCCTTGCATTTTGTTAAGGCAAGATGATATAAAACGTGCCACCAACAGTTGATGTGATGTTCACATGTTTCTTTTTAGTTGATGTTTTTATTTCCCTCTCATGAAAGAAGCAGTTCTCCCCGCTGTTTACGTCCATATTTCCAAACAGAGATTGCAGACAATGCCTGGTGATATTTTATTCAATGACACAATACTGTTTGTCAGGTTTTGGCTGACCCTCCTCTCCAGATTTCTACTGCCCTTCTCAGGCAAGAGACATGGTGCAGTTCCACCTCCCTCAGTTAGGGCAAGGAATCCCTCAGCTACCTGTCTTCCAGCTCATCAATCATTCAGTGTTTTCTCCGCTTCCCAGGATCACCAGGATCTTTTCATCCCACAGCCTTCTATGGCAAAGGAGAGGGGAATCCAGTGCCGTGGATCCCTCCTATTCTCTTCCTGTAATTTGTTCATTTTTCTGGATTTGGCTTTTAGTACTAATTGCCCCAAATTTACATTTGGGAGCTCAGGGCATGTGTGCAAGTGAACACAGAATGGGAATCACACCCTGCAAGGCTCACGCTTTTCAAGACACCACAAACCATAGTGGAAAATCAGCTTATCACAGTGTTTATGTATGTGGCCAGCCAGAAACAGGTAGTATAAGAAAAAAACATACACCTAGCTTTTGTCTCCTTGTACGAAGGGCCTTGATGGGGTTCCCACATATAACTTGAGTGAGTCCTAAGAAGAAAAGGAACACAGAAAATACTTCAGTACATAGCAAATTTTCTGTCTTTGAAATCTGTCAAAATCATTTCCTGTATCTAGGATGTAATATTTCATTGCATAGGTTCACAGTCTCGACTGAGATGGCCTGACGCTGCTCTTAGAAGCAACAGTTTCTCTGTTTCTACCAGAATCTGTTTTCTTCTGCTCCTGCCCTGACTCCTCCTACTGTGCTGGTACAAATGCTTGCACACTCAGGTAAGAGATTCAAATTAAAACTAAACATGTCCTTTTAATTTTGCTAGGTTGTTTTGCAGCTGGATCTTTACCATAATCAGGTTGTCCATGCAGTCATACTTGTGCCAAAACAAGAGACAAGGTAACAAAGGGAAGGAAGAAACAGTGAACATTTGGTGGAGCCACATCTTTTGGTAGTGTTAGCTATCTAAAGGTGTGTGTGAAATTGCAGTTTCATTCCCTGGCAGGCTGGATTCTGTTCCCTTACACTTTTCTGAAAATGTACTCAGTCATCAACACTGCATTATTTCATCAGATCTACACTGCCAGGTCCTACCTACAGGGAAAAACTGATGTGGGACTGGCATTTAGGGAGAAGCAGCCCACAGAAAAAACACCATCTCCCCATCTAACCTGCACCCAGAGAGCTGATGGAATTGCAGAATGAAGGCCTTCCCAGGAAGCAGGCAAGAATGTCTTGGGAAGTCTAAAAAACCAGAAATGACCTCCCTTCCCACCTAGCTGTCTCCAGGAATCCAGAGAACAACTTCCAGAGATATTTGTTTTCTACTTTAATTTCCCTGCCCACCATGTCATCTGCCCTGAGAAGTGCAAGGGTGCAGCTACTCTAAGTCCTACAGAGATCCTGAAGGAGCGAAGACAGCACATGGCCTCAATTCTGTCTGCTAACTTGGCAGTATTCCCAGGCAGCAAAGCTAGACAGCCAGGACACAAAGTGCAGTGGCCCAATTGTATTCGGGGATGGCCTTTTAGGTCAGGTATGTAAAGTCAAGGAACTGACTCCTCTCACTGAGAGAGGGTCCTGGAAAGCCGAAGGAAAGCAGTCTTTGGCAGCAGTGATGCAGCTGTAACCTGAGCTGGGAAAACACATAAGGCATCTTTGAACACGTAAATGTAACGGTGGTGCAACACGCACCACCACTGCCTTTCTAGAGAACTACTTTCTCTATGTGACTGAACAGAGTGTACCCAGATTTTCTCATCTAAGTTAGATTCCAGTGAGCCCTAGCTAGGTATATCAGGACAGCAACTTCAGCAAGGGAGCACCACTGCTGTACATGGCTTTCAAGAGACAAAGCAGTGTAAAATGCATAACGTGGGGATGACGGGGGGAAAAACCAGAAGGCTTCCACCTTGCTGCAGAGGAAAATGAAAGAACAGCCAGGCTAGAAGACTTAAGCCTCATGCCAAAAAAAGCCTATGCTGAACCTGATGTAGCAGCAGCCTGGCTGGGTGATATCCAAAGCCCAAGCTCTCATCAACACTAAAGAAGAAGGAAGCAGAGGCATGGGAAAGAACAGAATTAAATATATATATATACACACATATATATTTTTACCATGTGTCAAATCACTGGAGTCATCTTCCAGGAAGAGGCCCTCAGAAACAGTGGGATGGGGAAGGGGACAGCCAGTGGACAGCAGACGGGCGCTGCTGGCTCGCCCTGCAGAATCAGGTCGCTGTGCAGTCCTGGGTCTGGAAGCTGTGCGGGGTCTGGGACTGGATCCAGACTGCCTTGCTGCTACTGCCCCAAGATACAAATCTGAAAGATTTCACTAATGTAAGCACAGTCATGCAGGATTTGAACCACACCATCATTGCATACTATCAATGCACGTGGAACTGCGGGGGAAGGAGAAATGTTATTACAGCTACAGGAAACACACCTGGAGCTGCAGTGCTTGCTCATACTGCACATGGTTCCCTGCCCAGTTGCTCTGAGACAGCGTTATTTGAAGACACCCGATTAAATCACAGTCCCTCTCCTTCCTTCTCCTACTTCCAGATGTCAGTGAGCTGCTCCTGGTGCTGTAAGGGGTCAGGAACAGCTCAGTGGCCAACAGCAGCAGGCTTGATGGCCCTGCAGCTCAGCCTGGATGTGTCCAAAGCTCAAGTTTCCCTGCCTCTTGTGTGCTGTCCATCTGCCCTCACAGCCCCAGAGAACCACCAAAGGCGATCTCCCCTTCTCTTGCCACAGACACAGTCCAAGCTTTAAGTCTTAAAACATACAGCTTAAGTGCACAGAGACAGTGAGATGAGAACAGCCACCCTACCACAGCTGCTGGTCAGTAAGGACAAACCATTCACTGTGAAATTAGGGAAATCTGTGAATGGTAGTGATAGGTTTTTCCAGTGTTGCCTCAGAGAGATATATTTTCTCTACCACAGTAAGAAAGGTGATAATTGAGTTTTCATAAAGCTAGAGGCCAGAATGGATTATACAAAAGCTAGTGAAGGAAAAGCAGCCTTGAATTCTTACCTGCGTGACTGCACACAGTTTTGGGAGCAGCATGTGTAGCCAACATACCATAGGAGGGTAACTTGCATTTCAGTTCCTAGATGAATAGCTCATTTTAAAAAGTGTTGAGCACCTAACAGCTCTACAGCGGAACAATCAACACTGTAATAATAGGGTCATTTCTTTAAGAGCTCAATGTTAAGGACCTTTAAAATAACTTAGCCACTGCTGTAAATACAAAACTATGATTTATGCATCACATATGAAGTACCTGAATCAACACTGCTACAGGGAATTAAAAAAACATGAGGATGTCTGAACCTGACCACGTGAGCCTTTTAGTTCATTGCTGAAGACAAAAATACAAGCCTGGTTATAGTACGACACAACAAGGACTGAGATTGTTTGCTGGTTCCCTGTTGCTTCTGTTGGCCCACTATATTAACTAGCTTTCTGATCCAGAGCTGACATTGCCAAAGTAGGATCACTGAGGAATCAGATTTTAATGCATTTTTTTCTCCTACCATAACTTTTATTACAGCTAATGATTTGGACCCACAGAGATTAAATAAATGACAAACGTATATACTTACTGCAAAACAAACTAAAATTTTAATGGAGTGCAGTTGGCAGCCACACCTCAACTGTGAGGGTCGGGAAGCCAACTGCCTTGCCCACACTAATGGGAAGCAATGCAGCAGTTATAGGAAATACCTTGTAATATTTAATGATATGTGGTAAAGTGCATGTAGCATGATATGTAAAAGCACAGACATCTGAACTATGACCAATGCTACAAGCAAGGGGACAAGAGATTTATTTGCAAACCATTTGTTGTATACTAATGAATGCAATGAATTTAATTGCAGAGGCAAGGGAAAAAAAAAAGGCAGATCTATTACAAGACGATCTCAATTGCTAGGATGTAGTTGCCATCAAGGGTTGGTGAGAAAACTCTCTTTCCTATTATTAAATTGGAAAATTGGAAATCCTACTACATCCAAGCTACACGGGACTGACTGCTACCACGGAAAGGGCTGAGAACAGCTGTTGTTGAAGCATACATGTCCAAGCTTTTGCTTCTTCAGTCATGCTGAATGAATGCCAAGTACCAGATTCCCAGCTAATGTGGAGATTCGCTTGATGCTTTAGAACTCACCTGCATTTTTCTGATATTCGTATCAAGGTTAGGATTGCTTTCCTTTAATTCTGTAATCTGGGAGCTCAGTTAGGGAAGAAGCAACCAGACTTCAGGCCATTCTGTCTGTATTCCCTAGCTCAGCAGGCTGGCATACAATCAAGCATGGCAGCTGATGTTTCCCCTCACACGAGCCCCCTCCACCAGCTGGTTAAAAGCAGCACTAAGAAAACGCAGCAGGTTGTAAAAAAAGACCTCACTCTGCATAGTGGAAAGTATGCAAGATTACTGCCTATATTTAAAGAAGTGATGAAAGCTAAAGAATACCAACAGAGGTGCACAAGAGTCCTGCTCCCTCTTGCAGGATCATACGGACTCTGACATTCCCTGGATGTGGCATGTGCTGAGGGTCTCAGTGGCCTTGCTGGCTGCCAGGGCAGCCCAAGTGCCTGGCTGCTGAAGGAAGCATCAACCCACCAAAGTTGTGCGCAATCCCTGCGGAGCCCAGACCTCTTTCTGCAGAGCAAGCCCACCCAGGGCTTGACTAACAGCCCGGTCCACTCTTGGGAGGTCTCCCAGAGCAGAGGCAGCCTACGTGTTTGTCTAAAAGGTGCTGTTACAAATGTTTAAAATTTCAATGGATAAAGCACATCTCAGATAGAAGGGAGCCAACTGACCTTCTTGGGTTACAGATAAGCCAGGCACTGGGGACAGGGTTGGGCACAGGCAGGAGGAAGTGCTGAGCACAGCCAAATGATTGTACTGAAAGGTACAAGGTTGGAAGTGAAAACTCAGGGAAGGTGATTCCTGCCCTATGAATTCCAACTTTCTCACTTCCCAAGTAAAGAATATGATGTCCTTCCTCATCCTATATAACTAAGTTTGGCTCTGAAGAGATCAGCTTGCTCTTCATCTTTCTTATTCACATATCACAACATGAAAAATTGACCTCAGTAGGAAGTTTGACATACCTAACCATGGAATATCTCCAGCTAAATCACCTTCCTTGATGGATTCCTTGATGATTAGCCAATCCTCAGTCATCTTCTTGGAAGGAGGGATAATAGTTTGGCTGGCTGGTATTTCATCCAAATATTCCAAGTGGGGAATGAGTTTTTTCACTTCAACTCTGTAATTATAATCTAGTCCCTGGAAAATTTGAGAGAGTTGTCACTTGAGCAGTTTATTTAACAGACTGCAGACTTCCACCAGCAACACAGCAGTGTTCAATTTGCATGACTGCCACATAACTTGAAATGTCTCCAAGAGATAAACCTGCTCACCTCATTCAACAGAAACAAATACAGTCAGGAACTACTTTTCACTGTGCTTTCCCATGTAATCTCTATCCAAATTGATCATGAATATGTCCTGAGTAGCACAAACACACTCGCATTCCAAAAGGCTCCTTTGCTGCCTTATACCGATGATTTAATATTTATCTTTGTTATATCATATACATTGTACAAAACTGAAGAAAACCACTAAGGCCCAAGAAAGCCTGGGTGTCCACATCACGGGGCCAACCATTTTCTCTGGTTTTGGGAGCACATTCATAAATGAGCTGCACTAATTTTCTGCAGCAGACCAGAGTTTCCATGTGTAATTCCAAATGACATGAAAAAGACTATTTATCCTGGGCCATGCTTACCTCTGCAAGATACTGCTTGCTAACCACAGGTGCACAGGAGGCTAAAGCAGATTGTCCTTGGGCTTCCTTTGAGCTCTGGGAAAAGGGCATCATCACTGCCAATGCACATGATTTGCTGTGACACCCACTGGGCACAGAATGGGTGCAGTTAACTGCATAACACATGAAATAATCTCTGAGCACCTCTCAGTGCCCAAGACCTTTGAGCACCACATCAGTCAAGAACAGTTCTAACTATGCTCACAGCATACTGTGATTTGGGCCATTTTGGTGGATTCCAACACTAGAAAGACGTTACCAAGTGGCACCTTCGTCCCTGGGAAAACTCAGGAATACTTAAGGCAGACTGGGTCATGCAATTTTGAAGTGGAAATGTTTTTCATTAAAACAATCTAAGAGTACAAACGACAGTAAACGTGCATGATGATCTCACACATTTCTGTTTGTTTAAAGAAAGAATATAACAAGAATGCCCTGCTAGTGGCAGAAGACGAATGGACAGTTTCCCGAAACATTGCCAGCTATCTATAGATCAATTGTTTGATCCTGACAAATGTTGTTTCTTATAGCACATGCAATAGTAGAAAATCCCAGAAAGCAAAATCCTCATTTAATATGGATTTGTCATAAACATAAATCTTTCTGGGGTAGCTGGGCAGGTATACTCTCCATCCCTACAAATAATACAGCAATACAGAGGAAATTACCAAGCAAAGCATTTGCTCATTGGCCTTTTAGAAGTGGCAGACACTAACTCTATCTTAGCCTTTAATCCTAATTTAGAAAAGAAGTCAACCGATCCCCATGCTTTCACGTACCATATGTATTCTGAGCAGCCTCTGGGCTCCAGCCAATTTAGAGCCATGCCCTGAGAGAAGCATCATGTTACACTCATGTTACAGGGGCTGCAAAATTTATCATCAGGCTGTTACTTTTAGTTTAGATAACAGAGGAGATGAGCTCATCTAAAAATCAAATTACAGAAAGCAAGCAGGCAATCTGAAGAAAGCAGTAAATCTATCTGGACTATTTTGTACATAAAAAGAGTGAATAACCAGGAGTATTTTTACAGAACTACAGTATGGGGCACAATTAAATGGGGAGCTTGAGGATAAACCTGGCCACCTGGGTCACATCAAACACATCTCTATTTCTGGTAATTTTTCTGTACCCTAAAGAACTGTAAACATGAAATCACGCAGTGACAAGGCCCAAGGAGAAGATCTGAGCAGCCGAGGGCAGGCTCTGTAAGTACCCCAAGACTGAGCAGCTTCCCAGCACAGGGACCGAGTGGGAAACAGCAGTTAATTTACAGTTTCCTTCTTTTATGGCACAAGTTAAAACATACTACTGTACAGATTGTTCCTCCAAGTTCTAGGCAGCATCTGAATGCAACTACTTGCCTGAAAGCAGAGGCAGCAGGAGGAGGACAGTAGGGCACATACTGCTCCTCCTTGAGGGCCCATTACACTGCAGCATCCCACAAGTTCTAATTTCCTTGACTAAACAAATCAAGTGCAATAGTGACATAACCCTATTACGAATATGTTTAAGGACTCAAGATGTCAAGTGAAAATTACATCCTCCAAAGACAGGATTTTTGTTGAGCATGCCTGAAAAGCAAGTGAGTAAAACAGACTCCTATGCTGTCAGGAAACACCGCACAGTTTTCACGGTAGTAAGCTATGATAAGAAAGTGCCAGAAGCTGTACTGTATTTGTCTCAGTGGGAGTAAAAACAGAAAATAGGCATGCCTTGTCTGTTTGAAGCACTGTTTCCCTGCTGTAAGAATATTTGTTTTTTCCTTTCATGATTGCATCTTTAGTAAGGGATGAAATGTCAATGCAGAAATCATTTTGGTTATAAATAGTTACAATGTGGTCCTTGACCTACACTTGTACCAGTTCAAAGCAGGAAAGAAAATGTATAATACTTTGTTTTGAAAGCCAGAGAGGAAAATTGGAACAACTAAAGTACTACCTTGTGCCACTGTCTTTACTGAGGGATATGATCAGGCCAAAAATTATATCCAAAAATTGCTAACACACATCTGGATCTAAAATGTATGAGGATTTAAAATATCTACATTTCTACTACCCAAATGAGTTTTAGAGACACCACTTCAGTTTTCAATTAAATTCAGTTTAATTAATCCTCAATCCTCCAATTAAATACTCAGTTTTCAATTTAAATCCAGGAAACATGCCAGAGGCAGCCTTGTGTGTGAGTAAAGTGCATGGGTATGACTGTTCAAACAAATCAAGAAGCGATGGGACGTGGCACGCTGGAAGCACAGGGCCAGCTCCTGCTCGGGCGTCTTACCCCTGCAGGTAAGAAGCAGAGGTAAGCTTCTTACCTCTTCAAGGTGCCATTAGGGAAAGTGCCATCCTTGGGTAAGACTGTATATTAAATACTTAGGTCTGTATGTGCAATCATGCACATGCCTTATAACCTTCCAGAATAGCTTAATGATTATACATAGCATGTTGTTACCAACTACTGTCTGATGGTATGTTTGGTGCTACGTATACAAAATGAGAAAGAGTCTTATTTGACCAAGTTTCTTAAACTCTAATTGTCCTGATTACTTTTTCAGGAGATGACAAAATGCTGATTTTTATATACCCGGATGTTTTTTGAAGTAAACAAAAGTGAAACAGAGTAGATAATAGCTTTCAGTCTGTTCATTAAATCTCTCTTGCTATTTTTGTTGTGTGCCCTGAACTCCAGAGAAGATCATGTATTATCTGGTTTTAATCTTTGTAACACAAACCATCTCACGTCCTTACAAAATATCTTCACAAACCCGATTCTATTGTTTTTGTATGCAAAGGATGAACAACTATAGCTTGTATCTGCAGCTTTTACAAAGGTCTTTTTAGTCATTTAGTTTTAACCTTTTCAAGAGAAAAGACAACAAGCACTTCCTACCATATAACCTTTCCTAGTAATCACAAGAATCATTTTTTTCTGAGAGTTCAGCTTTTGAATGTGGTGGACCTGGAGCACCTGCTGTTGGCATGGAGATCTTTCCCATTGAAATGTTAACCTTTGAGGGAAGAGAGTTATTAGTTCAAGCATCACAACTGGCACATCCCATAGCAAGGAAAAATATTTACTACTATCTAATAACAAGATCTGTCCAGATTAGAAGCATCCATACAGCTGGGGTCCCTGCTCCTTGCTGCAGAATTGTGATGAAGGAAAGCTTGTTCTATTTAGACTCCTGTTTGCACTGCAGGTGGTAGGAAGAAATGCCTCCTGGCCAAGTGATGAGCAGTCTTCTCCTGGTTTTAGCACTGACTGGACCTCAGGGAAAGGCCTGTGCATTTATGTCAAGAGAAAATCCTACACACATTCTGGAGGCTGTCACGTTACTCTCCACACTGCACCATTTGCCCATGACAGACATTGATCCCATTATAGATGGGAGCTGATTTTCTTACAGTGTAATCTCACACAAGGCATGGAGGAGCTGGCATCCTGAAGCACACCTCAGTATTTTCTGCCATTGACCTTCCAGACAACAACTAAAAGCTGCCCCAACTAGCCTGTCTGGACACAATCCTGGTCAAGGCACTCTAGGAGACCCTACTTGAGTAGAGGGCTTGGACTAACATGAACTCCAGAGTTCCCTTCCAACCTTACCCATTCTGTGATTCTCTACCTGTCCTCTTCCTAAACAGAAAGGGAAGTGATGTGTTCCTGAGAAAAACAAGCTATTTTCTTCCCCTAAATTAATGGTTTTGAGAAGAAAGCGCTTCCGGATAATGAAGAAACCAAAAGGCATTAAGTCACAAAACTTCTGGAATCACATTTCATTCTGTTACAAATGGTGCTTGGGTGTCCACCTGCTAGAGGCCAGGGCTATCTTGGGACTGGGGCAGTCTGAGACTCAGGCTTTTGACTACCTAGTATGGAGACAAAACTCTCTCTGGAAACAGTGGCAGAAAGAAGACAGAAAATATTATTTGCTTGCTAAAAACAGAGGGGAATAATAATAATAATAAATAAGGAACATTCAAAACTGAAAAGCCTGCCCTCTAATTCTTGGTGGTCTATTGAAGGAGCTAGGCTGATTATAAAAAAAAAAAAAAAAAGACAAGAAGAAACGAAAATTGCAGTTCTGACAGATACTATATCACATAGTTAAGTGCCAAGCAATATGTGTGGGAAGCATACTTGAAAGCACAGCTGATTTCTAGTTTAACCCTATTATGAAAGGCTAGAAGACATATATTGTTCAAGAGCAGGCCTGACTCTTCATAGCTCTCCTAGCATTTTATTTGTGCTGATGTGGCAGCCAAAACCTGCAAAAATCTATAGAAATGAAAGGCATCCCATATTATCACGCAGAATGATACAACAGGAGGATGCAGAAACATTTCTCATTTTCAATTCAAATTAAAAAAGCACTGCAAAAATTAACACAGTAAGTTCAAACCAAGTTCTCACCTCTTCAGACTCTGCATTTGGCTTCAGACAAATGAGGTTGCCCTCCACTGTCAGGCTGCTCAGTTTGTAACAAAGTCCCAAATACAGCATCTGGTTGATGTCCTCAATATTGTTCCCCTCCAAGTCCAAAACCTCAAGGTGTTCCAACAAGCTCAGTTGACTCAGGTCAGAGATATTGTTATAGGCTATGTAGAGTTCCTCAGCAGAAGTAAACAGAAGAGGTAAACCACAGGCTTGCACAAGTTATAGCCAAGTTTTGCTAAAAATTTTCTAGTCTTTGAGATACTACATGACACAGAGTGACTTTAGCAGATTAGTATAGACAGAACATTTTTCAAGACTGGCCAGTACCACCTTAAATAAGTAGGGCTAATATGGAAATGAATGTTATGCCTGCAATAGGCATTTTCAATGTCAGAACTAAATGCTAAAACTTATTTAAAAAATACTATTGCATCTTTTAAACTAATATATTCAAGTCAAAGTGTTCAGTCAAGGCCCTTCAGAAAAACAAGCAGAAGAGAACAAAGATTACAGTTAAAGGGAAGAGCATCCACTGAAGACAGTTACGAGATCATGTTTCAGGCCATGTCTATACTTACTTTTAAAGAGCCGCAGGAAGAGATCCCATCTAAATCTGAGAGCCCACAGCGAGCCATCCACAGGACGTGGAGATGGGACAATGTGGTTCCAAGGTCCCTTATGAAAGAAACAATTCAAGCTATTTAAATGGACAAAGGCATTTGAAACTTGCTTATTTTCCCAAGACTAGGTCACTGATACTTTTTGCGGATCACATGCTGTTTACAAGAAAGAAATGTTATTAAAAATATCACCTTCAAAGGTGCAGAATAAGATAATAAAACAAACCTCTCTCCCAGACATTTTTCTTCTCATATGATAACACATTGCTCCAATTCAGTTTGTTTAAAAATCTTCCAAGAACTACATCTTGGTGATTCATTCATAAATTTCAGATAAGTGCTAAGGATGAAGTGAGGTGCATTTACATTGGCACCATTTACTCTATACATATTACCCAAATTAGCATACCTGGGCTAAATGCACAGAGTCATCTTACTCTTTCTTTTATGGAGATACCTTTGTTCTCTTCTTGTAGTTAGTAGGAAAAATGGTCTTACCAAATACTTACTTGGATCAGCAGAAAATTATAATCTGTTCTATCCTACCTTTCCACTATTTAGGTCTAGTGTAAGAAATTTTTTATACAGATTCTAGACTTTCTGGTCTTGGTCCAGAAAAGAACATACTCACCTGTCTAATTGCATGAATATGGAATGTTCTACAGAGTTTGAAGAGATCCAAGTATAGAAAAAGACAATTCAAAATGCAAAAACGGTGGCAAATCAAACTGGGAGCTTAACCGCCTTCCACCCTTTTCTAATACTATATTGCATAAGACCACTTTTCTATTTGTAAAACAAAATATAATTCTTTATCAAATCCCACATCTATCACTGTAACATAACCAAGAATTAATATATACTTTAATGCACCTTTTAAGGAAAATTGTAGAAGATAAAAGAACATAGTCACGGGATTCCTGACCTCGGAATATATTTAATAGCCCTTTTGTTCATGTCTCCCTCTCTATGGGCCATGGGCAAAAAGAACACCTTTCATCGCCCTCCAAGAGCAGCTGGCAGCTTTGCAGCAGAAGTGATCCACCTCTCTTCTGCAGTTCCTCACCACTGCAGGCATTGGTACTGCTTATGGATCGCCCCTTCCCTGGTGGCGGCAGTTCATTCTCACTCCAGTTGAAACAAGGCCACTAGATACACCATATGGTGCCTTAGGTGAAGTTTTATAGCCTTTGGAGTACAGACAATTAGGATAGCTGAACGAACGATGCCTCGTGGTCTAAAATTTTTATTGCTTTCCCTTCTGGGGCATCATATTTACTACAGGCCTCCAAGATGAAGGCATATAAAACCTCAGTCATATGATACTTCTCTTCCTGCCTAGGGCTGTTCCATGTTACACGAGTAAATTGTCGACTGGCATAAGCTGCAACTCCTCCCCTGAATTTTAAGCCTGACTCTGCAGACATAGGACGCAATTATCTGGTACCAACACAAGATTAAAGCAAGCCAGACACACACAGAAATTCCCTTCACGTATAAACATAATTCCTTCTGCAAACTTACTGACCAGCCTCTGTGGACACCATCTGCCAGCCAGTCCTTCAGCCTGCCGGGCAGCAGGGAACGCTTGCAGTCTGCATCACTGGATTAGCCCCTGAAAGATGGCAGCTTGTCACAGAGTACGTCCTCCAAGGACTTGTTCAAGCTTGCCTATCCTGAAAGACCAAAAGCTCCCTGTGCATTATTGTGTCCAAAGACCTCCTAAAGGACCTTCTAGGGACTCTTCATGCTCTATATAGGTTTTAAAGAAAACAAGCACTGGATCTAAGTCTTCCTTAAGGAACAGATGCCTCCCAAAATAATATTTACCCGAGTTTATTAGATTTGCAAACTGCATACCTATAAGAGAGAAGTTAAATCAAATAAAAAGAGCAGAACCTACCATCAATCAAGATCAACAAACCCATAAACTCAAATATGATAGTTATGACTAATGTGAAGAAAGTATATTGCTCATTTCATGACCCACTTAGAGAGCACTGATCAGTTGCTCAAGTTTCAGGCTAATTTTGGTGCAGAATTTTCTCTTCTTTAAGCTGCTGGACACAGATATAAAAGTGGTCACTCTCATTTTCATAGCATTGAAACAAGTACTTCTCATAAATTCTATTAAGGCAGCAAAACTGAAGACCTTACCCAGTTTCTTTACTATACATGACTGTTTTTGTTGTTGTTGCCTTTTTTTTTTTTTGTCTCGTACTCACTAACATAGTGCATTTAGCCACAAAAATCAGCTTTTGGTAATATGTTACTTTTCACTATTCATGCTGCAATGTGAACACTCTCAAATTAATTCCAGTCTCATTCATGGATAGCAGATTTGACTCCTCTGTGGTCATTTTCGGTGCAAGTCAGGAGAGGAGTAAGGAGCAGGGGATGATGAACGTGCTCTCTCTGCCAGCCAACACAGACTATAGAACATGTGCTGTATGTTAGAGCCATGAACAATGTTCTCCTCACTGATTCAGGGTTCATGCTAGTTGCTGGAGGAGCCTAAAATGTTGGGCCACACAGTCAATTGGCCCTGCAGGTCTTTGCTCCTGCTTCCACAAAGAGCAACCTCCAGTCAGAGACATTATTGCTGCAGAGCCCCTCTGCAAATATTTTAGCCTTAACTAACAAAAGACTCCTGTGGAAAATGTATGAATCATGATGCCACAGTAGAGAAGATTCCCTTGTTAATTAGCACTTAGAGAGCTCCTGCTGTGAGCACTGCTAAGGCTGCAAGGTGAACCAGCAACAGAACTTGAAGGAAGCTGCTCCTGACAGGACAACTGCAGGCACTTGCATTGCTGAGAATACTTCTGAAATATTTTGGCTGGCCAAAAGAGAACTTAAGAGCTTGCAAGACATGGGAGTGCCCCGTCTGGGACCAGCTCTGTTGCATCTGGAATGTATACCTTGGAGGGGTGAGGGCAATGTGAGGCATTGTACGAGCATGCAGGACCGCTGGGTACGTGCAAGTGCGCACGTGGACACGCTGTTGTTTATGTAAGCAGAGAGGTCACCTCAGCACAACCTATGGACATACATCAAGTGCTGCTGTAGCAAAAAGTGGACCTAATGGGAATCTGTGTTCTTAATAATTTACGAGGATAGTAAAAGGAAAAATCCACTACAATTATGAACATAACCCAAAGACCGAAACATTGACTGATGCTAAAACTACTAAGACCTGTTGGAGACCAGAACTCTCTTGTACTCGGCATGATGTAAACGTGTAGAAAATCATAGCATCTGTTTCAAAAATAGAGAAATATGATTGAGAGGTTTGAACCAAAGGACATCACAGAGGAAACAGGCCCCATTAATCTACACAACAGATAATCCCATTGCAGTTGACAAGTGCCCTGTCCCAAGTGATACAGAAGCCTTTAACTTTATAGAAAGCACGAAGAATAGGCAAAGCAATCATATGACCTCACTTCTGCTGTGGTTCATGCAGGTCAGGTTTGAAGCGAAGAGATGGAGCACAGGTGGAAATGTGCACGTCCTATCTTTCGCTGGGGTGAACCAAGGATTACAGCCTCTGAGGCTGCCAAACTCGTGTCCTCCAGAGCAGTTATCCATGCACTGACCTAAGTACTTGCCTGCAGAACACACATTAAACATCAAAGCATATTTCTAATCTTAAGAAATGCTGAGAAACCAATGTAAGACACCCCATAGCTTCATTAATTTTCCATTTTCAGAGGCAGCAAGCTTGAACCCACAAACTTGCACTTAGAATTGACTTTTATTCATGAAAATGAATAAACAGAACTGTTTGAAAATGGGCTCCAATTATCTTTGTACACTGCTGCAGGGAAGGGAACTCATCAAACAGTTCTGTTTCTCTAAGTGTCTTGGCAGTATCCTCCTCACTTGCACACAACCATTTAGGATTTTTTTCCCATGAAATTTGATGCTCCCATCTTGTCATCACTCCCCCAAGCTGAGGTGGGAGCGCAGGGGCAGGGAACAGTTTGGCTTACAACACCCAATAACAGTTCGAAAAATAATAACGCGTTCTTCCATTAATCCCACATACTTGTTCTTCAGGGACTGATTTGCTTGAGCCAAAATTCTGCTGGAGAGAGACCAGACCTTGGGAGCCAAATTTTGGTCTTGGTGTCACCACGATAAATCTTGAAGAGTTCCACGCAGTTCAGCCTACCTAGTAAACACAACAGTAAAAGCCTGAACAGAATCAAGCTCTGAAAATTCATCCCTTTGAAAACTGTTAAATTTTTCTTGCAGCTATTTTAGAACCATCTATCTACAAACTAACACCAAATCCATACAAATTTGTTGAATAAAACTTCACTAGCAGCACTTCTAAAGCAGAGATTGATGCTGAAATGATTTGGTTTTTTAAAGGTCACCCTAAAAATTAATGTGCTGACAAACACAGACCCTCAGATTTTTAACGAGTGGCCAAATTACTGCTCTGAAACAAAGAAGAAAATTTCAGCTCTGATCTACAGAGATGAAGTTGAATTTATCAAGCTGCACTGTGATAACAGTGATCTGGTCCATATGTCAGTACACAATGGTTTTGTTGTACAGATAAGTCTGACATCAGAAGCAAAAACTTTTCAAGTCTGAATATTATTTAAATCGGTAACATATGTTCCCATAGGAAGCTTGCATAATAGCTTCATTGTACTCTCAAATAGCTGCAAAGTGCTCAGAATTGTAAAACTGATTGTATGCATGTGCTGCTCTCACTGGACTGAATCTACAAGACAGGAGACAGCCCCCAACCCTGCAAGCAGTTCTAAGGCCAAGGCTTTATGTCCCTGCAACTGCTGTCCTTTCACAGTCAAACAAACGTATGAATGCAAGGAGCTGACTCTGGAGCCTGCTCTGCAGTATTGCAGCCTCACTTATTTTGTGTTTATGCTTCCAAAGTCAATCAGCGGGAGGCTGTAAAACTGCTGGCGCCACTCTCCTTGGCCTTGCACCTCACAGAGCCGCTCATGCACTGTGGCTGCAGCAGTTGCTGCGAGCATCTTGCACTGCCCTGCGCAGGTGCAAGCGCCTGCCCAAGGTGCAAGGTACTGGGGCCA